GAGATAGCCCATTGTGTAGCTTTGTGCTTAACTTAAAACAAACAAACAATACAAAAACGTCTTTAAGGAGTATTTCTGAAATGGAAAAAACTTTGTGGATGAATTTAAAGAAAAATAATTAACAGTAGTAACTACCTTGTAAGCATAAATTATATTTGCTGAAATTGTTTTGTCTTTTACTCAGATTTCTTATATAATATATATATATATATATAGATGGATATATATAGTAAACGTGACATTGCGAGAAGTATATTATTATTTTTAAATAACATAGTAGAAGAGGCTGCGAATTAGACATTTTAAATTAATTTATAATTTTGTGTTTGTTGAAAATATTATTACTATATCCAGTGAAGCATCATATAAATGTTCTAGTATGTCACTTCAATGTATTTTTCAGCTTATATTTTAGAATTCTTTAATTATCCTGTAAAACCGACTTTGTTTTAAAACATAATTCTGTAACTACACTGAAAATGGTAAATAAAAAGAGCTGAGTGTTTTGTTTTGCAACAGAAAAAAACAACAACAATCAACCATATAAATCGTCATAATTATTTATTATATTATTCGCTTTTGATGTAGTCTTCGAAAAATTTTCTAAAAAATACTGGAGTTTAAAAAGCGCTTGATTTTATAACTGTTCCAAATACATATTTCTGTTAGTGAACAGATCTTCCTGCCATCTGGTGAATAAATAAGAAATATCAGAAAGCGACCAATCCAGCTTTGCTCTCAATAAAATTCTTCACTTAGTTTTATTCAACGATGAAAACTAGTTCTTTTTTTTTAATGGTGTGTTTGAAATTATTGAATTTTGACGTAAGGAATAAATGAATAAAAATAACAAACGAACTTTCATACACAATTAATTCTGCAAGTGGTGTTGTTTTTAAAGGGAGGAATACAGTTGATAGAACAGCGCTCGAGAATGGCTGAAGGACGGTCGACGCTCGCATAGGGATGTGGAGATGGGACAGAGTTTTGCTGGCACGAAGGGAGGGAGGTGTTATTGTTAAGAAGATAGGGGTTGAAGTTGAATGGGGAACGAAGTATATTGTAAAAAGAAACATACTATAGCAGGTAAAAAGAAAAAAAATCTGCCAATAAGACCGAAGAAAGTAGTACTAGTAACGTCCATGAAAAATAAATTAGTGACTGTGGTTGTTTAGTCTCGCATTTAAGCTATTGACGTATCGTACGTTTGTTAGGCTCGCCGTAAGGAACACTGAAGTGTTGGACCAGCCGTAAGTTTGAAGTAAGCGTAATGGCAAAGTTTGGGGTCCAGTTTGGGGGCTATTTGAGCTGTTTACTAACCACGTTAACTGTCTGTCTGTTTTGGTGTAAGTCATCAGCTACATCAAACGATCTGGAATCGTGCTTGTACGTCAAATATGCGTACTCTGAAAAAGGCTTTAATGATAGGGACGTACCAACAAAAGGAATTCCAGGTATGTTTATTTTTGATTTTATTATTGAACGTAACAATACAATGCAGCTTACTGCACGTTTAAGTTTCTAAAGCTATGATCTTTTGTTTGTTTTTTTTCAAAAAGTTAACTAAACCATTTTGAAAGAAGTGAATATGTAATTTTACTGGTAAAAATATGGGAAACCAGCTGTGTGAATAAAATAAGTATCGTCATCCTACACCACATTAATAATTTTGCAATTGATCTATTGCTGGTTTATGTATGTATGTAATATGTATATGTATATATATAAATGAAACAATACTATTATATTATGAATTGCGTTGTGCAATGAAACCGTTTACAGCATTTTACACACCTTTAATTGCGTGGGTATCTAGCTGATGTTGCCCAGCTGTCTATCACATTCACACTATAACTGTTATCAGTATACTCTTCAGCATACGATAAGAGTAATGTAGTATAATGTAAGGCGAGGATACATGTATGCTTTGTAAAGTCTAAAACATTAATAATAAGTAATATGGTAAAAAATACAAACAGAAATCTGCCGAATAATCTTGACCTGTAGGCTTTATACCGTATATTTTACCCACATAGAAAAGAGGTAGCAATGTGTTTCTTTTTTTTATTAAATTAATTATAGTGTTTCCATGGCTACTAACGTGTTTATGGTATTGGCTGTAATAACTGTTAGGTATGCACAATTTTTATATTTGGGAAAAATGTTTCCTATGTAATATGTCATTTATACTCTAGAGAAAAGTCACTTTATAAAACTTTTTTTTTATCTCTTGGAAAGCTTAGAATGTTGTATATAATATTGTACGTGTGTAAAAAAGTGCAGGAGCTTAAACTTTTCATTGTACTTCAGAACGATGTATTTTTTTCATTGTACTTCAGAACGATGTATTTTATTCATTGTACTTCAGAACGATGGATTTTATATGGAACTTCGTTTACATTATTATTCTAATTAAAGTTTGTTTGTTATAAAGAGCCCAAAGCTTCACAATGAAATCGAATCCCGAATTTTATTAGAGTTGTTTCATTCCAAGCTTATGGCTGAGCCATCGGGGGGACTGTTTTATTATAATGATGCTAATTTATTAGACTTTAACGTATTCATCGACACTTGTATAATACATAGTTGTCTCATTTTATGAATTTATACACTTCAATTAATTATACCACTTCTTAGTGGGAGAACCGAAACACAACAGGCTTTGATATTTGTTTGTATTAAAAGTTAACCAAAACACGTGTTAGGGTATAAAATACAAATCGTACTGTGGGATCTGTCAAATGAACGACTAGGGTATTTTTATGCAGCTATTTATCAATTACGACAATAACAACAAATCAGTTAGAAAAAGATTGATTGGATATCAAACCTTTCACTGCAGTAACGTACACAGCACATTTGTTGTGTTAAAGTCTCAAAATCTTTACAAAAAATGAAGCAAATAATGCTTAATTCTCTACTAACGACGGCGCTTTGTGTTGACAGGTTTTAAACGAAATCTGATCTATTTAGTCTTACAGCTGCTGTTAAAAGACACTTTGTGCCAACTACTAAATGCTTGTTTGAATCAACAACGGCAAAGATGCATAATAATAGGTAGTCTTACGTTAATTTCGGGCTGTGACTGTTCGAATAGGTTTAATTCCAACAGCACTGTAATTATAAACATTGAAAAGTATTAATGTGCATTATTAGTCCAGCGTATAAAAAAAAGTATATGGAGCTTAGAAAGTCATTAGAAGTTTTTATAAAAAAATCTATACATCTTAACTTTGCAACAATGTTTCTTGTTTATTCTGTTTCGTAAGGATCAATTATTTAATGGCAAAAATAAATGCAAAATACCATAAAAATTATAGCTTTACCACTGTAACCTTATTGTACTAAAAATTATAAAGTTTAATTAGCTACAGCGTAGGTTTGTCGTCTACGATATGTTATCAGCCTAACAAAAAAGTAATCATTTTACTATTTATAACGACGCGTTAATAGGAGGCCCATGTTAAAGTAAAACCGTACCACGTTGTTCGAGATGACAGCTACTATATACATGCATTTTGTTAAAATCGTCATGTAACCAAAACCTGTTTAAAACATTAAGAAATTGTCATTTGAGTTAATTTCAAAATGTTGACCTAAGATCTTGACTTTTTAACCTATTATTTTCACTTTCGATTTTTTCTAACTTGTTCGACATATTTTTGTATATACGGAAGCATAAAAACTGGCCTAAATGAAGAGGACGCACATCTGAACAAATTATGTCAAGTAATTGCGATTATTTGTGTAGTTTGAACATAACGTTTACAGTTAATGAAGTATAGTTAAGTATGTGCTGAGTACTTGGGGTTTAGAGTATAACGTTTCATGCAGATATATGGTAACGCGATTACCCTTGACATTTAGCAAAATCCTATTCTCACACTGGGGATTTTCATTTAAGTCCTTAAAAGATACCTGCACAATTTTGAAGAAAATGTTGAAAATCAAAAGAGTTTTACATACTTTAACATAACCTTTATTGTTTTAACACCCAGGTTTTACATTCTTTAACATAACCTTTATTAGTTTTAA